AATTTTGCTTCCTCGTGGAGGAAGCTTTGTAGTCCATTCATTTATAAAACTTTTCAAAGTGGCGGAAACAAATTTTTTTCTTTATAGAAACATGTTATATGAGATCCTGATCAATTGTCCGGATGTATGTATGTGTGTGTGTGTGTGTGTGTGTGTGTGTGTGTGTGGATCCCTTTTTTGTTTAGAAGATAACTTTAACAGGTTTTAATGGATTTAGATAAAATTTGGTAGGCTCATTTATCATATTAATATCTCAAATCTGACCAAAGGATTTTGGAAAATATCCCAAAAAAAAATTTTATCGTCTTTTTTCAAAAAATTTTTTTTTAATCGAAAAAATTTTTAAATAGAAAAATTTAAGGTTATATATAATAAAATTGTATTCCTTACGTCCAGACGAATCGATCGATATATATAAAGTATACATTTAAGGTAAATTTAAAGAATTAATGAAAGTAAAAAAATCAAAATTTCACATTTAGGCTATAAAATTTTGTGATTTTTTAAATTGAAGATTATATATGAAATAATTGTATTCCTTACGTCAAGACGAATCGATCGATATATATAAAGTATACATTTGATGTAAATTTAAGGAATTAATGAAAGTTAAAAAATCAAAAATTGACATTTTGGCAATAAAATTTTGCTTTCTCTACGAGGAAGCAAATTTTTTTGCTGATCGTAAAGAGGAAGCAAAATGTTCATGTAATGAACATCTTAATTTACAACTTGTTTATCAAATTTTTCAGTCACTAAATTAAGGTTTTAAATTTGTATTATTATTATTAATTATTATTATTATTATTATTAATAAATTTGCACGTCATGTAAATCCGTGATATATTTATATATCACGGATTTACATGACGTGCAAATATACTTCCCAACAAGATTAGTAAATTTTTTATCAAATTTTTCAGTTACTAAATTAAGGTTTTTCATCACACGTCTATGATTTTTCTTTAACAAGGGGTTGCAGCATACATTTGGTGACGGCATTTTTATTTTTCATGAGAAATAGAAGCAGAGTGTGAAAAATATTTGTGATATAAGGTTATAATTTTCATAAACAATAAACTTTAAAATACTCGTGAACGGATAAGCATTTAAAATACTTACGTATACAAAATATTCCGTACAAATAGAAAAATTATTAAATATTATGCAGATATAATTTTTTAATAGTAAGGGAAATTAGAAATAAATATGAATTTAAAAATTAAATTATACACATGCACTCAAAAGAACAGCAAGGTCCAAGAGCGCGCTCGTGTTCTAACGTGTTTCAGCGTATTCGTCCGGCGCCGCGTTCCACTTAGTTCTCGGACCGCGATCACAAATATATTAATAACTTTTGACCTAATGCAATATACAGACTTTTTTTTTTAAAATACTCGTGATAAAATAGGGAATCTTAATTGACAAGAAAAAATACGAAATTAGGCGCAGAAGGTTATTAAATTTTCATTTGTTTATAATAATTGTTGCTATTTTCAACAAATTATGAACAAAATGAAACAAATTTTTTTTATTTGAAAGCATGGTTATTGTATATTACTCATACCAAATTTTAGCAAAATCCATCAAATGGAACCGTAGAAAAGCTTTTTTTACTAATTGGCTGCTTAAAAATTGTTTCAACAATAACTCTTAAAAAAATTAAAATTTTGCAATATAACTTTAGGATCTTTCTTTGATTCGAAAATACTATACAATTATTGATATGACTTATAAAAATCTCGCCATCGAAAAATTAGTGGCCCACTTCAGAAATTTTGAGCCTTAAATAAAATAAATTTTATTATTATAATAAATATTTTTTAAAAATGCAGTGTAATGAAAAATTATTAAGTCTCTCACACAATGTTTGAAATCACATTTGAAGATTCCCGCGCTGCTTCGAAAGATGCGCGCACGACAATAATTCAGACAAGTGGCGTATGGGGTGTGTGATAGTCGTTTCCACTCGCAATCAAGGTGTTAATCTCACACTATATAACAGATTTCTTTGTCGTTGAAATCAAAATTCAATTCCAGTAAATTTAAGATGAATCCATCATTTTTAACTTCATACTTTTCGCATCAAAAAGTACGTATAATATAATTTCTATCTTTGAATGTTACCAGCGAAACAATTGTACTAATCTAAATCTGTCAAATTTGAGTCACCAAGTAGCGCTGTTGCTATTATTGTAATCCCCCTACTGGCAGCCATTTTCTTTTGTTGTTAATCAATTCCACGTCACATAGTACCGGGATATGCGTTATCGACGGCCACGTATCGTTATCGATCGCGGATATATTAAATTAAATATTAATTAATCTGAATAACATCGAGAAGAGAGGCCGCTGATCAACGTCTGCCATTTAAATTTTTCATTCTCATCCTGGTGTTCGTAAAGTAAAGTTGTGTTCTATTCTTTTTTTTCTAAAATAATTAAAAATGTAAAAATTCTAATAATTGATTCATTGATGATTAATACTAGTAATTCTTTTCAATTGATAAAAAAAATTGATCTTCATATATAACTTTTATGTTAAATTCTAGTGTCTTTGGTAATTAAAATTTCAATGTTCAATTATTTCTCTAAAAATAACTTGGCGTCTTTGGTAATTTCATGGTTATAATTTCAAAAAGTAGATAACAAGTAGAAAGTTGACACATCATTAAAATGAATTTAATTTTTAAATAATCAAATAATAATTAAATAAATTAATTCAATATAAAAAATGAATTTAAATTTATAAAAATATTTATTACAAATGTCGCTCAACGTGGAACAAACAATCAAAATTAAATAAATTAAAAAAAAACACGTTAAAAATTGCGCTAGAATTCAAAATCATTAAATAAAAGTATCCGTTATAATTTACGTCTAATGGAAATAAAAATAAATCTAATAATAAAACAACCCGTTATAACGTACATCTTTAAATTAATATTTATGACCATTAAATAATAAGAGACTATAATTAAAAAGGGACTGGATAAAACTTAATATTTAAGCAAAAGAAAAAGAATTTTTTAAAAGTAATAAAGAGGTGAGAAAATATAGAAAGAAAAAATTCAGAATGAAAATGAGAAAAATAAACAAATTTCTTCTATCTTTTTTGTAAATCTAATGAAATAAATTAAAAAAAAAAAATTATAATATAGATACGCATTCTAGGTGAGGGAGTGTAATTCGCACTCGACGGGTTTATTTAGCTTTAAAAAAGAAATAATTGAAAATAATATAACAAAGCGAGTAGTATAAATAATAAAAATGCGAATGAAGAAGGTTGAAATAAGCAGAAAAAATAATCTAGAGATGGAAATACCGAAGGTACGCACCCACGTAGATTATAATTTGTTTTTACAGTAAATAATTAAAAATTCACGTATATCTATAATTATAATTTTTCCTAACAAAAGGAAACTGTACATCTCCAATTTTTTTTATAATTCATAATTTTGTGTCATTTAAAGTGCTCATTTTTAATATTTTTAATATCAAAACTCTTGTTCCAGCAAAAAAATCTTTAGAGAAAAAAAAATTTTTTATTAACTATTTAAAAAAATAGAAAAAAAAAAATTTTTTAATAATACTTGTGCCCGACGACTTTATTAATTTTATACGAATTTACACTGAGAAAAATATTTTGTATGAAACAACCAAATTTTGGTAAAATCGACTAATTAAATGCATTGACAGTGAAAAATTACTTTGAATCGAACCTACTCTAACTTATACGTCTTAAAAACAGAAAAGAATGGTGTATATTAAATCAACCAAACAACCCTAAAATTTAATTTTAAAGCAAAAAAAAAACCGTTTTTTTGTAGTTTTTTATAAAATATACACGGAGAAAAAAAATTGTTGTGGTTACTAAAGAATAAAGTCCACACAACAATTCTAGATTGTCAAATATAGAACTAACAGTTCTATTTGTTTTTGGGACAAAAAAATTGTTAAAATAGGATTGTTATTAAAATTATTCGGATTGTTCGGTGAAAAAACAGAATTGTTTGATGAACAAAGAAAATTGTCATGGAACAGTATTGAAATAACAAAACAAAATTGTTAAATCGACAATACAATTTGTTGTGTTAGCAAAAGCTTTGATCCATCTAATACGATTTGTTCAGTTTCTGCGCCTTCTAAAATAATCGATAGCAGATTTCCGTAGGTTATATCACCAGTTTTATTTGCATTTAAATCTGTGGAACATGCAGCTTTTGAATCAAATTCTTTGACCTAAAACCAAAAAATTATTTTGAGTTAAAATTTGTTGTTAAATGATATTTAATATACATTTTGTATTTTTTAAGGTGAGGTTATGTTCAATAGTAACCGAGTATAATTTTACCCACGAAGTAATAATAAGGAGCTGGAACTCGTGGGCAAAATGCGTGCCGATTCCCTTGGTAAAGTACTTAGAAGCTAGAATAAGCGATAGTGGCGATCCTTGCGGGTAATTGTGGAATCACGGATGATCACGCGATCAATAGTGAAATGTGTTTATCGCCATTTTGTTTGTTTTTGGTGTTTGCCGGTCTTGCTGAGTTCTATTTAACTTTAAAACTCTTATTCCTAAGAGATAGAAAGGTTTTAAAACATATGTTCTTATTGTAATATATGTCTCATAGACATTGGCAATTTATTTTCTGAAAATGTAAATTTCAAAAAATAAGACTTAACTATAAAGTAAATTTCGATTTATATACATGTTTAACTTATCTTAAATGTTTATTTTTAAAAAAATGTTAAATTGCAATTTTAAATTATAATTTAAAATTACTGTATCTTCGTAAATGTTTAAAGTACATTGAATATTTATTTAAAAATATTTAAAATAAACTACATTCTTAAAAAATAATGTACAATTTATTTCTTTTGTAAAAATCACATTCTTTCAACATATATACAATAATATAAATGTCGAAAATTCTTAGTACATTAATGTTCTTACCACTACATTGTAATTATTATATACAATTCGTTTCAATTATTAATTTATAATTCAATGTTTTCTATACATTTCAAAAGTCTATTTAATTCGTCTATACTCTTTAATTTTATAAACTGTGAAAATACCATTTCTTTGTCATCCAAAAAAATTTTAATTTTTAAAGTGGGAAATACCACAATTCTTTTTCGAATCAATGCTTCTTTCTCAGCCTTCTCAAAACCAAGAAAAAATTTATTTCCTCTTGTATAACCCCAGCTTTTTGTCGGAAGATGTACTGACATCAAATTATCTTGTAATAACTCGAAATTTTGGTTTTCTTCCAAACGGCACTGCACCATAACCTACAAACGAAAAAAAAATTATTTGCAGGCATCATTTACTTATTTTCACTTTTTTTATTTTATTAAAATTTATAACACTGAAAACTAAAAGAATAAATTTTCACCAATGCAATAACAACTTTAATGAAAAACTATCAACAAACATTGCAGAAAACATTAATTACAACTTTGTTTACTTTAATTCAAAACGTAATCACATTAAATACTTACGTCTACGAATTTCTTCCCTTCTTCTACACTCATTATATATAAAACTTTTACAACTTTCTTAAAAATAAATATTTAAAACACACTTTTATATGTTTTGGTTTAAATTATATTTTGTCAGCCTTCGTGCTGTCAGTGAAGCAGACGACAAACAAACTTGGAAACATTAAACTTCTTCATGTACCCGCAAGGAACGCCACTGTCGTTTATTCTAGTTGCTAAGTACTATGCCTAGAAAACCGGCACGCTTTTGCCAGGCAATCGCCCATAGAGTTCCAGCTCCTTATTATTACTTCGTGACTTTACCGATAAACGATGAAATTGTCTCTTTATCCATTCACTACACTTGCAATAGATTTCTCACTTTAACCGGATTCATTATTTAACAGCACTTTGTCATTTTTTTTAAAACTAATAATAAAAGCAAAATTGGCACATGTGCCAGAAGCAAACGACGCAACGATCTGCACGCCAATTTGCGAGAATTCAAGATGACCACGTGACATGGAATAATCAACCTGTCAGCTGAACAAATCCGGATTGTTCCATCAGCAATCGACAGAGAGTTTGCTTCCTGCAACTGTACGGAATTGCAAACTAAACAAAACTGACAACAAAAAATTCTTATTGTTGTTAAAACAACATACATTTGTTTTGACAACAATCCGAATTGTAATATATTTTGAATTGTAATAGAGGCGCATGATTTTTCCCAAAAATTAAAAAGGTCTAAAATTTAATTGATCGAATTACATTGAGTCGATATTTTATTTTGTCGAAATTCTAAATGATCGACATTTAAAGTGGTCGAAATTGTATTAGTTCGATATTTTGTTTGGTCGATATTCTAAATGATCCACATTTAAAGTGGTCGATATTTTATTTGTTCGATATTCTAAATGATAGAAATTTAGAAGCATCGAATTTTATATCCATCGAAATTTAATTTGGTCGATATTTTAAAAACTCGACACTTTTTTAGCTATACGAGTTTCCTTTCTATGTAGATTGTCGGTAAAGTACATTGAAATTTTGCGGGAAATTTGAAATTATTGATGTAAATCATAATAAGAACATAGAGAGGAAACTCGTATAGCTAAAAAAATGTCGAGCTTTTAAAATATCGACAAAATTAAATTTCGATGGATATAAAATTCGATGCTTCTAAATTTCTATCATTTAGAATATCGAACAAATAAAATATCGACCACTTTAAATGTGGATCATTTAGAATATCGACCAAATAAAATATCGTCTAAATAAAATGTCGACCACTTTAAATATCGAGAATTTAGATTTTCAATCAAATAAAATATCGACTAAATAAAATGTCGACCATTTTAAATTTCGACCAAATAAAATATCGACTAAATAAATTTTTGACCACTTTATATATTGATCATTTAGAATTTCGAATAAACAAAATATTCGGATAAGTAAAATTTCGTTCAAATAAATAAATTATATCGATGAAATAAAAATTCTCTGTCTTAAAAATTTAGCTAAGTAGAATTTCTGTTCAATGACAATTCTATTAAATTAAAATTAGATTGTGTATAGAAATTTTTTAAATAAAACTTTTGTTAAATAAGATTTTTTTTTATATAGAAATTCTTTTAATTGGAAATTCTGTTAATAAACATACTTTTTAAGTGAATATTCAGATAAATAGAAATTCGATAAAAGAACAATTCTGATAAATAAAAAAATTTTTTTTATGAAAATTTTTCTAGATATAAATTTTGTTAAATGGAAATTGTATTATTTGAAAATTCGATAAAGTGGAAAATCTAAATTATCGCAGTTCAGTTAAATAGAAATTCTAAAAAATCAGAATTTTGTTAAATAGACATTTTTTGATATTAAAATTGGGATCTTTATAAAATTTAGTTTTTTAAATTTCTACTAAATGTAAATTAAATAATTTTTAATTCGACACTAAAAAAATTCCGGCAAGTCTAATTTGGGGAATATTCATGCATCCCCATAATAATAATAACAATAATAATTTGAAGACTTAAAAAATGAATTTCAATGATTTTTTTTTTATTGCGCAGAATAAAGTTAATGATCTGCGCAAAAGGTCAAAATCATGCAATTGTTCTATATTATCCAATCCGTATGCAACATCCCCCATTGAAGTGGGGGGTTTGTGTTCACGTCTAATACTATATAGGAAGGCGTCGCGACGCTCCCGTTGTCATTCTCGCGCAGACTTCAAACGCACGCGACACTATACATACTTCGGCAACAGGTGATAATCACAAATAATTATTGCAATTTTTTTTTTTTTTTTTTGCTTTTAATTACTTTAGCGTTAAGTTAATAATAATAAAAAAAAAGTATCATTAATTTATTTATATATTAAAATTAAATTAATTATATATTAAAATTAATAAATTAATTTTTTTTAAAGTGTATTTTTCGAGTCATAAAGTGTTTGGTTTTTTTTTTTTAATTTTTTTAAACGGGAATAATTATTTTTATTTCTGATTTAGGTTAAAAAAATAATTATCGTTTCTATTGTGAAAATTTATTTTACAAAAATTTTTTTTTTTAATTTAAAAATAAATAGTGGGTTAAAATTACCCTGTTTTTTGAATATGTCGATAAGATTTTTATTTTTTGTGATCTTTGTTTTCACAAAAAAAAAAAAAATGTAACAGGTAAGATTAGCATTTAAATTTCTTTTTAAGAGCATGTCTCAAGTGAGGAATGAGCAACAGGTGAAATGTGGCTAATTTCACTTTATTGTGAAAAAAGTTACTACGAAAAATAAAAGTAGACTTTTTATGGAAAATTGTAATTTTTTTTCATATTTTATTATTGAAAATTTTAAAAAAACAATTGATATGAATTTGAAAATATTTCAAAAAAATAGAATTTTATACATTTTACAAATTTTTTTTTTTACATTATTAATATTTAAAAAAAAATATTATTTTAAGAAATAAATGTTGTATTATTAAAAAATTCTCAAATTTATTTAATTTAAAAATTTTAGACTAATAGTAAAATATAAAATAATTTTTTATCCAAATTTATTTTTATTTCTAAATTTAGTTTTAAAACTAAAAATAAGTTTAGAAATAATTACTATTATTATTGGTGAAAATTAATTTTTTGAAAATGTAATTTAAAAATTTTTAATTTTCTGAAAAAATTAAAATTCTATATTTAATTAAGCATAAAATTTTGAAAAATTATTTTAGACAAAATTAACTTTTTAGACTTTTTTTTTCCTTTCCTATATGATAGATTCGCATTTTTGTAATTCCCTTTACTCGTTTTTTATATACAAAATAATTTTTATTTCAAATTTTACAAAAGGAAAAAAATTTTTAAAAGTGAGAAAAATAAATTATTGTATAAACAAAATGATTCTACATTTTGTCATTGAAAATAACATATAAATTTTTTTTTTTTAAATATAAACACTTATTTTATTCTTATCCATTAAAACCAGATTTTATAAATCAATTAGCAATATTTATTGTATAATGAAAAAAATATTATTTTTTTTTATTTTCTCCTGATATCTCAATTTTATATTCAATTAAAATGGATCATATTTGCAAAGTGTTCTTTTTTGGAATGACGTTCATTCACTTCATCGATATTCATAGAATACTATATAGACATAAAATATATTGTGACGATTTTCTTTTCTTTTTTTTTGGTGTTTGCAATAAATTTTTATCAGAATTTTATTTTGTACCGTCAAATTGATTAGTAAATTTATTTAAATTAAATATTAAAAAAAAATAAATAAAAAAAATTTTTAAATTAAATTCAAATAATTTTTTTAATTAAAAAAATTAAATTAAATTAATAATTTTTCAATTTAAAAAAAAATTAAATTGAATATTTTTTAATTTAAAAAAATGGAAATGAATTTTTAAATTAGTTTAAATAAATTTTTTATATTATAAATTTTTAAAAATTAATTTAAATAAATTTTTTTAATTTAAAAAAATGGGAATGAATTTTTAAATTAGTTTAAATAAATTTTTTATATTATAAATTTTTAAAAATTAATTTAAATAAATTTTTTTAATTTAATTAAAAAATGAATTAAATGATTTTGTTTTTTAATGATAAAGAGAAAATTTTTGATCTATTTGAAATGCTTTTATAAAACGTATTTGATTTTAAATTATTCATTACCATATTGAAATAAAATTAAATATCAATTCACTGTGATAGAAAAAAGTAATTAAGATTTTTTTTTTCAAAAGTGATTTACTTTTACAGTGATAATAAGAAACAATTCTCCAGTAGAGGATGAACGTTACAAGCGCACTGAATATTATATGTATATATATACTTATATAGGGTTTATGCATTTTAATCGTCGCTTATTGCAAACTTGTTTACAGCTTATAAAGCGCGTACAAACCTCATACTGTGTCTAGTTACTGAGTAAATACTCTTTTTACTCAATAACGATCTCATTTTTTTTTTTTTTAACATAACGTATGAATAGGAACCAGGTTATTCAAAAAAAAAAAAAAAAAAAATTAATAATAATAATAATAAAAAATAAAACGCATGTAACATCAGTATTATATAGTAGTACATTTTTATGAGCTGAATGCTCGTATTCCAAGCTCGATTTTACCATTTACTGTCCAATATCTTCGGGTAATTACATTTTGAAATTTATAACCTAATGCCCTTCCCCTTCTTTTTTTTTCATTGTGTATTTATTGAAAATGCGTAAAAAAGAATTTGAATTAATTCACCAAAAAAAAAAAAAAAAAATTAAAATATATAAAATTAAAAAAAAATTGCTAAATAGGATTTAAAATTTTTATCTAAATTATTACATTTTTTCCCGTATTTGCGCCTGACAATTAATTAATTATAACTCTTTTTTTTTTTTGTATTTCATGAAAAAAGGAGAAATATTATTAATTATTATTTTTTTAATTAAAAAAAAAAAAAAAAAAATTATTCTAAAACGTTTCTCAATTTTAGAAAATGGAAATTTTCTCACATGGAAAAATTGTCATGTGTAATTTTCGTGACATTTTTTCGCGACGTCACACAAATTATGTCACGGAAATTAAAACAGAAAACTTGTCACATGCAAAAATGTTACAATAAAAATTTTAACAAAAATATAATAAATGTTATTATTATTATTATTATTATTATTATTATTATTTTTATTCATATTTTTATTAATATTATTTCTAATTATTTTTTTATTATAACTTTTATTTTTTTTTATTTTTATTAGTTTAAAAGTAATTAAAATCTAGATTAATCACAAGTTTTTAAAAACAAAAATAATTTTTTTTTATTTCTTTCTTATAAATTTGCAAAAAAAAAAATACTATAAAAAATACTAAATTACAAAAATTTAATGTTCCTTCTGAAAAAAATGAATATAATTTTATTTTTTTAAATTAATTTTTAGAATTAGTAAAATTTGAATATTAGAAAAAATAGGAGAAGTAAAAAAACTAAAACTTATATTTTTTTCTTATCAAAGACCACAAATTTATTCGTTAAAAATTAAATTTCATGAAAAATCTTAGATTTTAATTTTACAAATTTAAAACAGTAATTTTTTTAAGAAAGGAGAAATTATTTTTATTTATTTTTTTTGTTTTATTATTATGAAAACAACTATAAAGTAGTTTTTTGAAACTAACATATTTTGCCTTGTATATATATATATATATATAGAAAAAAATTTAAAAAATATTCTTAAAAAAACAATATTTATTTATTTTTATTTATTTTATTATCAAGGAATTTTTTTTATATATGAAAAATTATTTTATTTTTCCAAAAGTAAATAACAGTTTTATTGCAACAGTTTATTTAAAAAAATTTTAATACTCCAAAATATGATAAAAATATACAAAAATAAATCACTAAAATGTATACATTTGCTTATTCCAGAAAATACTAGTTTTTGGAATTTTTTCAAAAAAAAAAAAAAAAAAAAAACCTTTAGGTACATTAAAAATGAAAAAACTAAATGTAGATATTCTTACAAATAAATAAACTATACATTAAATAGTCTATTACAATAAATAAACTAAAAATAATTTTACTAAATTTAACTCATAAACCTGGAAATATATTTCGAGAGTTTTTATATTTTTTAAAATTCACTTTACTTTACTTTCATGAAAATGAAAAATAAATAAAATAAATTTTATTCTCGTTGTCATTAATGTAAAAATGTAAAAAAAATTGTTTAAAAACATTAAAAATAAAAACAATATAAATAATTTTTAAGTAAAATTTTGAACTGTATTTACACTCTCTTAATCTGAAGAAGTGAAATTTCACTTTATTTATTTAATTATTATTTATTTATTATTATTATTATTGTTATTATTGTTATAATTACAATAATTATTATTTATTTAATAAATTATTATTTAAATTATTATTTTAAATAATTATTAAAAGAACTTATTCACTTTTTATATTAAAAAATGTGCAATTGACTAGAATACAATGACCTTTTTTTTTGAGTCATAAACACAAGAAAGAAAAAAAATCTGTAATATGAGTACAACTGCGAGGGACATTCTCTTATATCATCATTTTTTATTCGGGAAAAGTTGCTGGTTGGGGAAACTTTTGATAATAATTTTTCTAAATGGTACCATCAATCTTGATGTAGATAACTATAACAGTATAAGAATTTTACCCATAACAAATGAAACTACACGTCGAGTAACAGATTTTTGCATTCAGCAATAATTTCAACTTGACATTGTCAGTTCTGTGAATATAAATTAATCGCAAGAAACAAATTATACATTCAAAAAAAAAAAAAAAAAAAAAAAGAAGTTGATAATGACATTCAGTGGAAAAAAAAATTTATTTTGATTCAAAACAATCGGTTACTTTTGATTATTATCAAATACATATTTATTTGTATATTAGAAAATTATTATTGAGTTAATTAAGAGATATTCATTTGCGAGTCAATTAAAAGGTATTTATTTGAGTATTTATTTAATTTTTTTTTTTACTTTAAACACAGAAATTATTTATTCGAATACAGTTTATTTGATTCAAATAAAAATTATTTGGTCCAAATAAATTAATCATTATACGCATTAGTAATGGGTTACTTGAAATTTATCTTGAATAAAAATTGAAAAAAAAGCAGGAAATTATTAACTACGATAAATTAAAAACGGCAAATTAAAGTAAGGAACTTTCAGCATTTTTTAAAAGCCATTTCAATTAAATAATTAATTGTATTAAATAAATAAA